TCCCGGATTATTCGTCCAGTTTTGACTTTTGGAACTGTTCATCTAAGCACTTTGACTCATCAAATTCTCTCAATGTGTAAGCCTAAATATAGTCATGTGTGATCTTGTTTGATTTGTCTTAACATATAGATTATTAATATATAATTTCTATAATTTTTTAATATACAAATTACAAGATAAAATGGATTAAAGAAGTGTATTGGATGGTGTGTAAAAATGAGAGTGGACAAATACTCTGGGACGGAGGTAATATATCTTATCTCAAAGGATTAATATACATTTAAATAAATTTAATTTTAAAAAATTTATCCTTTTAACATAAAAGATAATCACATATGTGAACTTCATGTTGTGTCAGAAATGAATATATATTATGGTAAACAGAACTAATCATTACGAGTTCAGTCAGTGAAAATGCAAACCTGTGTTAGAGGCTGTTGAATCTCTGTTCTTATATAGCCTTGCACATGTATTTAGAATCTTTGTGACTATACGATCAACAAAGCGTTTCACGGGAACATTCTCAATTATCACTATTAAAGTCTGATGGAATAATTCATCAGAAAAACTGGAACACAATACCGTACAGTTAGACCAAAGCCAAAACAACACATTACAGTAGCCTAGAAAAGAAAAAATAATCAATTGATTCTAGAGTTAAAAGCTTAACCTGTACTCAAGTAGAGAGTCCAAAAATATGCCCAGGAACTTATCAATGTTGAACTCTTCTGTCAGACCACTGAGAATTTCCGGCACATCCCTTTTAAAAACGAAGAAGTAGCATTGAACAGTTAGATATGGCGAAAATTAACTGAAAAGAATTATGAACACACTCATTCATTTGTATCTATATAAATACAAAGGCTAGCAACCACTACCTGATCTCATTCAGAATGTCCATGCTCTTCTTTGGAATTAATTCCACGGCTTGCAACTGGAGAAGGAAAGTTCAAATAAGAACAAGACGTTAAACTTGAAATTTCAGTTAGTGGATCAGATTCCTAATATGGCTAAAATATAGAGCAAAATATGTAAGCCAACGGTCAACCACTGGGAAAAAATGCATACAGAAGAGTCTAAAACTTCATGGAGCAGTTTGCATCATGAGTAGTCCCGCCATAAATGCAAAATCAATCATATGAGGAATAATATTCTAACAAATATTGTATAACTGAAAACCATGTGAGTTTTGTTCATATCCGCCAAAACATATTAATACCTGAACAAGGTTCACCAGGGCCATAAAGGACATACGAAACCATTGTACATCAGTTGAATCCCTTGCAACACTGCTAGACACGTCTGCTAGGAAGCGAATCAAGCTTCTAACAACATTGGGTGATAGGGCTACCTTATCAGCTAGCAGGCTTACAATCATCAAGGCACCCGCCTAACAAATAATCAAGTCAGAAAGTAATTAGGATGATCTAGAACTTTATGTGATCTGCATAAAGATAATATGGTTCACCTATACATGACAATAAATTCTGAAGAAACATGGAAATACACCCATTAATATTGCAACCAGGCATGGGCACACCAGAAATCAAATCCTTGTATTAATTTAAAATCACTTTTTTACATCTGTGAGCAAGAGCACCCCGAGAGAGAAAACAAACAACAGATACTTAGCACACAAGCCAAAAGTCTTGGTCATTCAGAACAAACCTTTTGATCATCACCTCGTTTACCACGATGTTGAAGTCCAGAAGTAACATAAGGTAGAATTCTCTTCACAACATCACTGTCAATAGTCATTAGGGAGCCCAACACCTCAACAACCACAGCAGTACAGAATCCAATTACAGGCACAGATGGTTGAACCTTCTTTGTTGGTGTGGCCTAATATAACATAAATCTTCAGTCACGGGAAATGAAGAAAGTAAAAGATGACAAGTGGGGAGTAAATGTGCAGCATGGGTACTTACATATTCGCACAAAGTTTCCAAAACCCCCATATCACGGAGACATTGTTGCACGATAACCTTCCTAGGTGGTGGTGCACTAGTATTCTTCACCCCATCAAGAAATCTCCATCTTGTATTCCTGTGGAGGTATAATTTGTAAATTTTGTTTTGATGCCAAGAAATAACTTCACAATAATGTGCATGACAAAAAGAATTTGCATTACCCTGTGTCTAGTAGTTGGATGATTCGAACAAATGTATGTGTGTCGTGGTATGGCAAAGAACATAAAATTAACTCCTCCATATTATAGACATGAATCCTGAAATTTCAAAGTTGAAGTAAATCAGACAATAAAAGGAACTCACAAATATGTAAGGAATATATATTCAAATGAGTATATTATTACAAGGATTAAAGCTTTTAAAGCAAATACTCTAGTGTATTTTCGAATCAAATACTCTAGTGTAAGGAATATATAGTCAAACTGGAAACCTTACTTGTATCTTCGAATCAAATACTCTAGTGTCTTTAACGATGAAGGCAGCTCAAAATATCCAGACAGTAGCCGCAAATATGAACTGATTGATGAATTGATTCTGTTGTTTTCATCAATCCCCATCAATTCCCTATCCAAATCTCTACTTTTGGGACTAAATAAGTCATTTTTGTAATTACTGAATCTTTCTTCAGTACTTATTAGCACATCCAGGCCTGAAACATAGAATATCAAGTAACATTAAAGAAATGCAAACTTATAAATAAAAACAGTTACCAAATGTACTATCTCCAACCCAAAAAGATTAGTTCACTTTTCACAATCACCAATGCAACATTTAGACCGTTAAAAACTACTCTCTTCGTCCCAAAAGTATCACCCCAGTTTGACGTTTTTGGTCATTTTGACAACAAATGGTGACAAAAAAGTACACTATGTTTTTAGCTATACTATATATTTAATATGGATCATCTAAAACCCCTCTTACCCCACAATGGGCGGGTGCCTTTGAGGCACTGGGGTAATTTTGTTGTTGTAATGTATATAATTGAGTTCATTTTGATGTAATTTTGCTCTATCAAACTTTTATACTCCATAACATTTATTTATTTGAAAATTAAAACTATATTTAATTTATGGTCAAAGAGATGACAAAAGTCAAACTAGGACAATAATCTTGGGACGGAGGGAGCTTATTAGTGCCTAAATAAGCGTTATAAAAAATGATACTTGCTCGGTTCCAAAAAAGGTTCCAACCTTTGACATGGCACGGAGATTAAGAAGAAAGAAGGTGATGCATAGAAGAGAGAAATTATAAAGACCACAAATTTCATTCTAAAAGTAGAAAGTAGAACCTTTTTTTGAGACAAGCGAAAAATGAAATATGGAAACCTTGTTATGGGACAGAGGGAGTATTCAAAAACTACATTAAAGAAATGAAATTAATCTAATTATATTAAATTAGCATTATTAGTATATTTATTTCTCCCGGAAGTTTTAGTCAAAGTTTGTGAGCTCAAATAGAAGCATGCTTTTGGGACTGCCAGACAGGGGTAAAATTTAAGAGAGGGAGTTCCAGAGTTCAAAGATTCAATTTTTTTTATATTTCCATGGTCTTAAGCAGATGAAGAACTAAGATAATCAAAAGAAACCACTAAAATATTGCATGTAACCACCAATAAGAATGGTTAAAAGGAAAACTAAACAATCCCACAAAAGCTGCATTCCGTATGTAACTCTCTCCGCCACTAAAGAGAGACTCTTCTTAAGTACGACTTCCAATAGAAACGGAGCATTTTTCTTCTAATTCATTGAAAAGGGGGAGTGTAACCTGTGAGAGCGATGGAATAGATGGTCTCGACGTCTATGTCCGCTGCTTCGGTTGGTTGGAACAAGATTGAAGGCCGTGAAAATGGCCGTTTCTGCGGCTCTGAATCAGAGACTACTAGGGATTTGATCGCCTGAAGCTGTGAAGCAATTGATGTCGCCATGGAAGACGGCAAATTCCTCCTGGGGTCTGCGGAGGTTTTCAAATGGTGTGAGGGTATTCGCAGAAGAGAGGGGAGGGGTTTTGGCCTCCGCCCGATATTATATTTGTTGGGTTGGCTGGTGGTCCGACCTGGAAGTAAGTAATCCCGGCCCGTTACTGATGGGCCTTGAACTAATATGGAGTTTTCAAAACTGAAGTAAAGTTGTCTACAAAAATTTAAATTCATCGGTCCAAAAGGTGGAATCGCCCACCCCAGACAAAAATTTAAATTCATAATTTAATTAATGATGGTGGGTATCGTCGGCAACGAGATGGTTTGCGGTGGCAATTGTAGCCTGTGGCGGGAAATGGTCAACGGTTAAGGAAGATATCAAACTTCCATCTTGATGACTCAAATTCAGGAAATATCAAAACTCTTTGTTTCAAATAATTATGATATTTGGAGATATCAAATTGTATATCTCTTTTGATTTCACTAAACATAAAACAATTCGATACTCGGAGATATCACAACCCATATCTCTTTTGCTCCTCAAACACACCCTAAAATCTAGCTTGAAATTGTTTTGTGTTGTGTTTTTATGGTTCTAAGGTTTATATATAATATATGCTGAGTTTCTTACATATTTTTCATTAATTGCTCAATACTAGGGGTGTTCATCAGTCTAAAATGGAACCGGAGTGAATTAGACTAAAATCTAGACTGACCAGACCTAAATGCATTCAATTTTAGACAAGACCGACCCGAAATCATATAGACCGAACCGGTCCAAACCGAAAAAATTGATTCCAAGCCAAAAAAACTACTTTCAGATGGAAATCCCCCAAATCTTGAAATCTGGTGACATGAAACTTGGTCGACATTGATGCACCTGTAGTCCTGCTCATTCATGTTGAAGGCACAACTCACGAGTGATGAGGATGAATGTGCAAAATTTATAAGATTTGAGGGTGCAAATGGTGAAGACTGAAGACGGTGAAGATTGGCGACTGGCGACTGTGCGGAGAAGATAACATAGAGGCTAAGGAGTTAGAAGTTGAGAACTGAGGTTGTCGATTGAGTGGATTTGGAAGATAATATCTCACGAACGGTGAGTGGATGAGGATTATTCAAAGTCCTAATGTAACGACTCGAAACTAGATTAGTAGTTAGTCGTTATTTTATTAAAAATAAATAACGTTTATTTACTCAACAATATGAAGTATTTGTAAAATTGACGTTATTTAAAAATTAGATTTTAGGGTATTTAAAAATTATAATATAATAATAATTAAAGTAAGTGAATGAAATATTTACCTGGAAGAACTCTAGGACTACTTTGTGAGAGTTGAGATTGTAAGTTGATGATAGGTTGTAGAGCCTTGTGGACTTAGTGTCCAGTGGCATTCGAATAAAGTTGTACGTACATGCTATTTTAGATCTGATTCGTAGGATTGGAGGTTCCACCCAACCGGCGTCGTAGGTACCAAATTGACTAGAATCATGGTCGTAGGTAGTGGTTCTGATGTCATAGAATAGACTTGAGTCATGACCATATGTAGTGGCTCTAAGTCCTAAGATAAGAATGTGGATAATGAGGAATTGGCATTACCCTAGAATAGGTTATGATTTAGTGTTGGATATGAGCTATTGTAATGACTTAAACATTGTGTTATTAACATATGCAGGTGAAGAGCCAAGGTAAGTTATCTTAAGTAGGATTGTTATAACGTAGTTGTTGTCATTTGATAATTGTTACGTATTACTATTGTGTTTGTGTGCATGATATTGTGTGAAGTTATGAGCTAGTAAGTTTGTGTGTATGTGTAGTCAAAATGTTAGATATTTCTCACTTAGCTTCAATATGGAGTGTAGCCCTTTTTCCTATTTGTTACACGTAGTGGTTCTGATGTCATAGAATAAATTTAAGTCATGAACGTATGTAGTGGTTCTAAGTCCTAAGATAAGAATGTGGATAATGAGGAATTGGCCTTACCCTAGAATAGGTTATGACTTAGTACTGGATATGAGCTATTGAAATGACTTTTACATTGTGTTATTAACATATGTAGGTGAAGAGCCAAGGTAAGTGAGCTTAAGTAGGATTGTTATAACGTAGTTGTGTGCATGATATTGTGAAGTTATGAGCTAGTAAGTTCGTGTGTATGCATAGTCGAAATGATAGATATTTCTCACTTAGCTTTAATATGTAGTGTGTAGCCCTTTTTCCTATTTGTTACACGTAGGTTACATGATCGATGAACAAGGAAACAATCCCAAAGGGCAGCGAGGGTGAAGAGATGGATGAATGCTTGCTAGAGGAGTTTATTTGATTAAACTATTACATTTGAATTAGTAATGTTTTAAAGGCAAGAACCCAAAGTTGTATTTTGGATTGATTACATTAAAGCTTCCACACCATTTTGTTAACTCCGATGAATGTTTTAAATAATATTTTGAATTAAATGTTTTGAAATTGTTTTGAAGGTTATTGTGTTTGATGCTAATTTAATAGCAACCTAGTTCGTTAATTTTTGTATTCGCATTATGCAGGTTGGAGTGTTACATTTTGGTATGATAGCACGTAGTTTGTGGTCTTTAGACCCTTTCAAAAAAAGAATTTCAAAAAAACTGTTTTGAAAAAAGGGGTATTGATTTGTTTATAAGGTACTTCAGCAGCAGTATCCGCGTCTCTCGCCACTCCTCTATCCCATAAAGGTAATGATATCTTAGTGTTGTTTGTTATGTGTTAATATCTGATTGGGAAAAAATGATTTGAATAGAACATGTTAATTTACTTATTTGATTGTTCCTATGTGCATAAATGTGTAAGTTAGGGTTCATGTGTTAGATTAAGGAATTTTAGGGACGAAATTCTTTTAAGAGGGAGATAAATGTAACGACCCAAAAACTGACTTAGTAGTTAGCTGTTTTTTTATAAAAAATAAAATAATATTTATTTACTTAAAAATATGAAATATTTTTAAAGTTGATCATTATTTACAAAATTAGATTTTCGGGTAGATCTTGTAAAATGGTGACCAACGGTACATAATTTGTTAAATTTAGACTTATGTGAAGAGTGTGATGAGTAAAATAGGAGTTACAGTTTAATAATAAATAAATATAAAGATTTTATAATATACTAAAAATTAAAAAACGTAAACCTTATTTCCTAATTCTAGCCTAGGTCTACCCCGCACGCAAGAAGGAAACCCGAACCCTTTCTATTTAAATACATACATACATACATACATACATACATACATACATACATACATACATACATACATACATACATACATACATACATACATACATACATACATACATACATACATACATACATACATACATACATACATATATATATATATATATATATATGCATAACAGACACACAAATACGGAGTACGAACAGAATGCAAAAAGAAAAAAAGAAAGACTAGAACGGAGAACAGAGTCGAGGAAGAAGACGGCGGCCGTTGTGATCTCCGTCGTGATTGTGGTTGCCGGAAAAATAGTCGTGTTGCCACTACGCTTCTTTTTTGTTGTTTGGATGATTTGATTCGTTTAATTTGTCAAACTATATCGAGGTGAGTTCGTTAATATTTAACGCTAGATTTTGTATATAGATTTAAAATTCATGTTCGTAGTTTCGTATGATTGATTACGTGCTTTATATGGTTATAATCGTCTAATTATTTATTTATATTATATGATATTATTGGAATAAAATAAACAAGGATGACTAGGTATGTATTCTTACTCTAAATTGTGTGATTTGCATGATAATAGTCTTTAAAAACGTTATACGTATTGAATTTTTTGGAATAGGATCGAACTATGCTATTTCTGTGGCGTTTCCGACCTTGATAGTAGCTAGGTACTGCCTCATGGTACCCTGCTACCGTCACAAACCAACTCGACCGTCCGTCACTACCAGTACCTACGCCCAGACGGTAGGGGGTACTGTGCCGATAGTACCAAGGTACCGCCAATCGGTATCGAGGTTGTAACGCCCCAAAACATACCCTAGAATTATTAATGAATAAATAATCAATTAATCACAATTGTTTTGATTAAAATAAATTATTGTTGGGCTTTGGGCCGATATCAAATTTGTTTTGACATCTAATATCAAAATCTGGATAAGTCTCATAGAGATAAATCCAATATGTGGACTATTTGTGTGGTTTTGATTGGGAACCTGAGTACAGAGCCAAATCAAGAGTAAATAAAGAATTTGTTTAGAATTTAAATATTGAAATGATTTGTTGAAATAAATCATGAGAATAATTGATGTGAATTAAATGAGAGAACCTTTTATGAGAAAGGTCAATTAAACCAATTTTGACTCTGTTAAAGTCAAACACCCAAAAATGTGGTGTCAGAAAAAGTATAACGAATGAATATAAAAATTATATCGTTGGATAGAGTTCGACTGTCTGATCGCAACGGTGCAAACG